GGACACAAATATTTAACCCCTCCCCCGCACTTCCCCCTTTGTACCCCGCCCTTCCTTCCGTCCTGCAGCCCCCCCCCCTCTACTGAGTCCCAACCCCTCCACGTAGTACCCAGGTTTTTCATTTCTCACCACGCAGATCAGAAAGATCAATGGTCAGGAACCAAGTATCAGTGGGTGAGGTGGACCTCACCCCCCACCCCCTCCCCTACCGTCTTCCCCCGAATATAACGCACCCTGACAATGAACCTTACACAATACAATCAAAATGGGGGTGCGTTGTGTTCGGAGGAAGAAGCTTGTCCTTCAACTCCTTCCCTCAGCTGCCAGCGAAAAAAATTGCCACGTAAGCCTGTCTGGAGGCCACCCGAAACGTCCCCTGCGCAGTCCTCTGCAGATAAAGGGAAGCCCCTTTTATCTTTTTATCGCCATCGCCCGCCCTCCGTCCTTCAACTCCGGGACGAACGAAGTTTTGCAGCTGGTATGCTGACCTGGATTAGAACCCTTGAACCAGAGGGGCAGAACGTCGGGCAAGACCCCACTGATCTGAGGTCGTACTCTCTACTCGGAGCCGCATCTGGACAAATTGAGTACCACTAAACGATCCAGAGGCTCGGTAAAAGAGGTTCAGTAAAAAGGGTCAGTGAAAAAGGGTCAGTAAAAAAGGTTCAGTAAAAAAGGTTCAGTAAAAAAGGAGGTGCGATAAGGATGCCTGAGACGGGAAAGAGATATGGCGGCGTGCTTCCGAAGCAGATTGTCATCAACGAGGACGAAAGGAAACAAGACACGCCCTGTCTCTTATACACATCTAGATGTGTATAAGAGACAGGTGTTGTAGAGGCCAAGGACCAGCCCCGCCGCGGTGATTCTTTCCACCATGATCCACTAAAGGGAGTGCCTCCACTTTCCTTTTTTTTTTTTTTTTTTTTTCCTACGTCCCAAAAACCAGGAAAACATCGTAAAAAGACTGCGGGGCTAAAGTCCCACCCCCGGGGCCCAAGTCCCACTTACTCCAGTTCTCAATTTCTGACCTAGATTACGACGATCAACGGTCAGAAATGAAATGACGGATTAGCGTAAGTGGGACTTCGCCCGGGGGCTTCAGTGGTCCTTTCGGGTATTTTTCAACGTGGCGGCAGCGTGGCCGTCCGATGGTCAGATCGGGGACCACGTCACACTTACGCTGATTCTTCATTTCTGGCCGTTGATCGTCCGAATCTACGGTCAGAAGTTGAGAATGGGTGAAAGTGGGACTTGGCCCCCGATGACTGGAACTGGTGTGTACTCGAAACGAAGTCACATATCGGTCCTTCGGGACATCTGTTAAAATTGGAATGATACAGAGAATGAAGGTTAAGGATGGCCCCTGCGCAAGGATGACACGCAAGGGGCCATACATCCTAATCTTCATTCTCTGAGTCGTTCCACTTGCATGTAACGGATGCCACGAAGGACAGGACTGCGCACTTTTTTTTTTTTTTTTTTTTTTGGGAAACTGCGCACTTCCTCCCATCCGTGACATTCAAACATAGCCAATCTAAATTAAAAAGAAAACGAAAAGTGTTCGCCCAAAAAAAAAAAAAAAAAAAAAAGTGTTCGGCCTCACAAGGGAGCTCCTCTCTCTTCTTTACCGCGTAACGGGCAGGAAAACGATGTGAAAAGAGCGCACGATTTCCCAAAAAAAGAAAGAAAAAAAAAAAAAAGCGCACGAGAAGATAAATAGATAAAGATGCGAATATCGTCCTTCGGCATTATATTTGGCGACTGTGAGGGCATACTCACAGCGATACAACAGGACTTTTCCCATTTCTCTGTGGACATAATTACGGTCAGATGCATTCAAGACTAGTCGTAAGAGCGATCATATACATCCAGGAAAGTCCTAGTGTGAGTATGTCTTCAGGATGAGAAGGAAGGAAGGAAGGAAGGAAGGAAGGAAGGAAGGAAGGAAGGGAGGGAGGGAGGGAGGGAGGGAGGAACAATAATCAGATGGGAAGGCGCTTTTTTTTTTTTTTTTTTTGGGGTCTGATATTCATGTGACGATATATATATATCGTCACAAACAGAACTGCCCGGTAAACCGTAGGCAGAGAGAGAGAAGAGGACAACAAACGAGTATNGGGGGAGGGGGAAGGGGGGGGGATGACGACAGCCACGAAAGGCAGACCAGAGAGGCTCGCACTCAGGGAGAGGCGTATTGCTGAGGGACTGGCTACTTCAAGGAAAGATTGTGACTGCAGTGTGACAGAGAACAAACTGACCTGGAAGAAATGGCACAATCCAACGACGACAAGGAAGGCAATCCCGTGAGGGGCAAAAAAAAAAAAAAAAAAAAAAGAGACTGAAGTCTCAGCAAGACAGACGACTCTCCCTGTTTTTCTTGTTCTTTGTGCTATAATCGACAGAAGATCCTTTGTGATATAATCGACAGATCCAGAAGGGCTCCTGAGAGGAAAACTTGGGTAGCCAGGGTAGGTCAAGCAGCTGATAGTCAATCCCTCCTAAACAGGAGCAATCAATGCTGGTCAGGGCCCCTTCGGCTCAAGACGGAAGGAAGGGTGAAGTGTGAGAGTGCTCATCATGTATTCCAATCCAAAGTTTTGGCTGACTTGCCGGTGGAAAGGAATCGGACCGACGCTCCCCCGAATGGATATGGAGCCAGGACCCTAAGGACCTGTTTTGAGGGGGATGGGGGGGAGTTGGGAGGGGGAGGAGGGGGAAGGATTCAAGCTCAAGACAAAAGGGAAATTTGCCCGGGTTCGGGCAAGCACAGGTAGATGGCACACGGCGGCGGCGCTCAACGAGACCAGACTACCGGCGACGAACAGAGAAAGCGGTGTCCTTTCCACTCACTCCGGCAAACGCACCCACCCACCGACTTCGGCCCAACAGAAGGCATGTTCATTCTCACTGTATTGAGCACGCTTTTTGGACCAGATAAGCTTTTTTTAATGGCAAGGCTGCAATGCTTGGGGCCGACGGCAGCATTTCAAGCTGATTCATATGGATACGTGACGACCAATTAGCTTGCCTTCCAACGCAACAAGTGGAGGCAGCAAGGGCCTCGCCACACCACTGTCGAAACGAAAAATGCAGTAGTGCATCTTCCCAAAAACGTTGCCAAATGCATCTGTTTCTATTCGTAGGAAAGGATGCATCTTGCCACTTTCTGTGGGAACATGCATTTGAACGTTTTTCGTTTCGACAGTGGTGCGTGGAGCCCCTAATGCTTGGGTTGGACGGACAGCTGGAGGCGGGGAGCCTTCGTTCAGTGGACGAACGTGAAGAGGATTACGATGACCAACGGGGGAGGTCCCGTGTGGCATTTCAGGACAAAGGGCAAAGCAACCAGAGAGGTGTCTTGTTCTTTTTTTTTTTTTTTTTTTTTTTTTTTTTTTTTTTTTTTTTTTTTTTTTT